ATTTGATTGATCATTTTTAATACAGTGAGCATTATTTCCTGTCTGGTATTTTATTTTATTTTTATTTATTGTATCGCCACCCAACTGATTTAAGATTTTATGGATTACTTACAGTATTTTTCAGAGTATAAGACGCACTGGAGTATAAGATGCACCAAGATTTTGAAGAGGCAAATTAAAAAAAAAAGTTTTTGCACTCTGCAGACCTCCCAAAAATGGCCCGTTTTTCGCAAAAATGCGCCTGTTTTTTTTCTTCCAAAAAAAGGGCATGCATAACCTTTAGGAGGCTTATAGAGTGCTGCTGGGGGCTGGGGGGGGGGCAAAATTGAGCAAACAAAGGCCCGTTTTTCACTCATTTCTGCCCTCCCTAGCCCCAGGAGCACTCTGAAAGCCTCCTAAAGGATATGCACGCTCATTTTGGTGAAGGGGTGGGGTTTCAGGAGGCAAAAAATGCTGTATTCAATGTATAAGACACACCCAGATTTTCAGCCTGTTTTTTGAGGGGGGAAAAAGGTGCGTCTTATACTCTGAAAAATACTGTAAGTAATCCATAAAATCTTAAATCAGTTGGGTGGCGATACAATAAATAAAAATAAAATAAAATACCAGACAGGAAATAATGCTCACTGTATTAAAAATGATCAATCAAATATCCAGACTTTTGAGAAAGAACAGCCAAATGCATTAAAGAACAGGCATGCATTGCAATGGGAAGATTTCTTCATCGGGTCAGCCATTTGTGAGACCATTAATAAGCATCAGATTCAGAGCCAGCATCTTACTTGTCACACTGGTTTAATTTACAGTAGATTCATTATAATGATTTCATATTCATTTTGTATGACTTTGAGCTGATATATTATTTCACATCCTTCAGAAATCGTTCAGTCTCATACGGCCCTCTTACAATAATCTGTTTCTCTTACCTGACATTTCAACCTTATTCTGATGAGAATGATAACCTCAGCTCTGAGCAATATTTGCTTAGCCCTGAAATTAATTTTCCCATGATGGATGGAATACTTTTCTAAATTATTTCTTTCGGGGTCTTCTTCATAGTATCAGCTTTTCCTCCTAAAGCTAACAACAACAACAACAACAACAAGACTTGGTTACTTACTAGGAACTCCAGATACCAGCCGTAAAGGGCGCAGTACGCGGAAAGCTCTAAGTGCTTTAACATCAAATCCAGCGCCTTTACCTCCCAGTGAATTTACCCCATCAGCTTTGGTTGCTTGTTCTAAAATTGCACTAAAAAGCCTGTGGAAGGGAAAGGAACGAAAAACAAAACAAAATAAATGGTTAGTATACCCTATGGAGAAAGAAGCAATCAAGGTACTTTATATAATGCAGGAAATCCTGCATAAGGAGATAAAACTGAATATTCATATTTCTTTATGATATGTACAATGATGATATAGACAAAATGTACATGTGCTCTGTTAGAAATATATTAGTTGACAGCCATAGCGTTAATTCCTAGGCATGCTCTGCAGTTTCTAAAAAGGTTTAGAAGAATCAAGGTCAAATTTAACAGAATCGATCTAATAGCAATAGCACTTAGACTTATATACCGCTTCACAGTGCTTTTACAGCCCTCTCTAAGCGGTTTACAGAGTCAGCATATTGCAACCCAACAATCTGGGTCCTCATTTTAGGGACCACGCTCGCTGCCTCCTGCACCTCAAAAATAATAAGACCTCCCCTAAAATAAGGCCAAGTGCTTATTTGGGGGGTCAAAAGAAAATAAGATCCTGTCTTATTTTCAGGGAAACATAGTACTATTTTAACTATGTATTCATCATAGTAATATAATATAAATTTTCAAATATCTTTGTGGATTTTTTTTAAAAATAAAACAACAGCAACTGTTGC